CCCTCCCTCCCTCCCTCCCTCCCTCCCTCCCTCCCTCTCTCCCTTCCTTCCTTTCTAAAATAAATTGCCTTTAATATATCCTCATGAAATAGTTCACTAAAGTCATGATTACACAAATCTAATACACATGACCCAAACCTTTAAAAAATGATGACATACAAATAGTGAAAGAACTATTGAAATAGTTGTATGTTGAACATTTTGAATTGTTATTTTTCATTAATTAAATTTATTCTTTGACACGTTCATATATTTGAGGCAGGCAGATCTCTATACTTTGAGGCTAGCCTGGTCTTCATTGGAGTTCTAGGCCAGCCAACACTACGTAGTAAGATCCTGTCTCAAAAAATCCCACCCTTCTCTCCCAAAATTTGTATTCTGTTTATTTTCACTGTCTCCATCCCTGTTACCACTTCCTACAAATCCCTCTGCCATATTGATGTCTTTGTTCTGTTTTATGGCCTTTAACTGGAGTAGCTGATCCATGTAGCTTTCCTCTGTGGTCTGTATCTGATATTCTGTATGTGTCATCTACAATACACTGTGGTCCTTACCAGAGATGATCCCTTACCCCTGAGGACATTAAAAAACGTCAGGAGATAGTTTTGCCAGTGACACAGAGAACTAGGAGACAATGCCCTTTCCTCCTAGTGAGTAAAATATCCCCAAACTCACAGGATGACCCTCCAGAGAAATACACACCCAAAGTATAGAGAAGCCACATATGATAATGGCCTGTTTACTGATTGTCTCTAGCTTTTCAAGTCCCGTGACAGTTATGTTATCCACACTCAGAAAGCTTGAAATATGTTGGTGCCCAGCAACTGTTCATTGAGTGAATAAACATTTTTTCTAATGCCACCATTTCTATGAGATTGTTTAATTCCCTATGATTTCTATCTCTGTGAGGGAACCAAAGGGTTTGCTTTCCTTTCCTTGTGTCCCCCAAGAAGGCATCTTGTCTACATCCAGTCATTTTGGAACAGATTGACCTCTGTCTGTGAGCCTAGTGAAATGCCTCTTTTTCTAGGAAGGCGACGGGCAGTCCTATGCCTGGAGTTCTTTTAGAGCAGTGGATTTCAACCTGTGGGTCATGACCCCTTGGGACCAATGCCATTTTCACAGGGGTCACCTAAGACTATCAGAAAGCACAGATATTTACATTTTGATTCATAACAGTAGCAAAATTACAGCTATGAAGTAGTGGTGAGAGCAACTTTTTGGTCGGGGGTCATCACAACATGAGGAACTGTATTAAAGGATTGCAGCACTGGGAAGGCTGAGAACCACTGCTCTGGAGGGCTGTGTTGGGTTCAAGAGTTTCTTGCTGAGCCTGAGACTGTTTGCATTAAACATTGGTGCTTTTGTTTCAGGGGCAATGAAAAAGACACTCAAACAGTAATGCACTAGGCTCTCTGGCTAGCCATAGTTTCTGTTTCTACTTCTCCCAATATTTCTACAGGGGTCAGCGAACTGATGTCTTTGTTTGCCAAAGAGCATTTTGGCTCACCCTGCGGCACCAGGGCCTAAGCTTGAAGGCTGTACCTGGCTGTCAGTCTGTCGGTGCTGACTACATTCATTTCACAACCTGCTTTTTTGCACAGACCCGATTGCAGCCATTACCAATGGAAATACAGAGTGCAGAGTAAAGAACTTTGCCCATCTAATTCTAGAAATAACTGTGTTGGAGCTAGATCTCAGGAATGCCGTGCAGTCTTTCCTCAGATGAGCAAGCCCACTACAAGGAAGCACTAGGTTCCAGACATCTTATGGACGCAGACATTTTGTAAAACAAACCCATTCAAATAGGGTCTCCGCATCAACCACTGGGATGGTGGTTTATACAGAGGGTGAGTCTATGAAGGGATAAAGCTCCATATAATTGCCATCCTCTTTTGCTTTCTTTTTTTTGGTATTTAAGTCTTGACACTGTGGTCAAATGGCAAGTCCCACCTAGGGAAGTCCCTGTCCTTTCTATAATACTCAACTTAGACCTATTCCCTTAGTAAGACTTTCTATGTGTATCCATGGAAGGAACAAATGAGCAAGATTAAAGTGACATTTCCCCCTGATAGTATTAGTGAAATACATTTGCAGTGTGCTCTTCTGAGTTGAATTTCTTTTCAAGTTGAAAAGGCCAACCCAGTAGGCATAAGCCCTACAATCTTACGTGGCTAACATGTCTGTCTGGGGAAAGGGCTTTGCAGCCCACAACAGCTTTCCCTCACGGCATAACTCATTTGCCAGGCAGACATTCCTGCACTGGGAAGGTCTTGAGTCTTGTTTCTTGAGACCAGTACTTTCTGGAGGTCAGACACCTGGAGGTTAGAGCACCTCGACTCCCAAGCATTGGCCTGTTCAGTGCACCTCTGAGAACTATGCCTCTTTCCTTCAGGTCTTTTTAAATGGCCCATTTCTATTCTTGTTGCTAGCTCCAGAATTTCTGGAAGTGGGGGCCAGGCACAGAAAGCCTGGATGTAGAATTTGTTCAGTAGGTATGTGGTCTTTGACTCGGCAAGGGGACTCTTGGCTCTATAAGGTGAAAGTGGTGAGTGTCTGGGTCTCCTCAGTTATGTTCTTGAGGGTGGTTGAGACTATGCCATTGCTCATGTAAGAGCGGTTAGAAAAATGTGTCCTTGGGAGAACTAGATAGCATAGACTAAAGGAACAGAAGTGTCAACAGCTCCCGAAAGTTCCTCTCCCTATACTTCTATCCTAACCATTGTGATAGTGGTTGTTGCTCCTGTCAAAGCGGAATCTTAGTTTCTCTTGCTTCTTGGTCCCTCTCCGGGTGTCTCAGGCACAGGTTGCTGTCTCTTCTCTACCCCCAGCAACCCTGTGAGTCAGACACCTGGTCCTTACCTGGCAACCCCAACAGGGTGAAGTAGCCTCGGCACTCGGTGAAGCCAGAGCTTTCTCGGACGCAAGAACGCCATAACCCTTGGTAGTTGAATACAGCGGTCACTGGGTTGTTGTATAAGTCCTGGGTGCTCCACTGGTCCATACAAGTGGCTGCAATGATGCCCGCAAACCCGATCAGCGAAACCACAAACCCCAGGCCCTGGCAGGCGGTCACCGACATGATGGAGTACAATGCTCGCACAAATGGAGAGGACAAGAGACAGGCAGATTCTGAGGGCACCGAGTATAGGGATGGCGTTTTCTCTGAGAGGCTGGTGCACACGTCACGAATGGACCATGTAATGGAGGGGGCGGATGGGGGGAGGACTCACCAGTGCCGCCTGGGCTTGCCCTGCTTCTTTATCTACCTAAGTGAGATAATTTCCACAACATGGTACCAAGAGCCATTTGTTTTCCGCCATATGTACACTCTACTCACTGTTTGCCTTTGAAGGGAGTTTCTGTTCTGATTAACCAGGTTCTTCTCGGTAGAGAGTGAGCAACTAGGGGTGGGGGTGGCTGCTTGGAAGGTGTGGCATGGTGCTCACGAGGGGCTTCCAGGGGCTGAACCATAAAACCTTGACGATGCTTATCAAAAGCAGAAAGAACTTTAGCACTTTCTGTGGTGAACCGTTTAAAACGGCAAAATCAACAGGAAGTGCAAAAAAACATGAGAAAGGACTCACTCACTAAATACACTTCAGAGAGGATGCTTATTTATTTACAGTTTGGGAGCAAAAACACAGAAGGCATGAGTTACCCTGCTCTCCCTCAACTGGGAACATGCAACGTGGGTAACCCAAAGTCTTACCTTCTACACATGCCTACTTAGGACTGTGGAAGTGCCATGAGTATTGAATTTAGTTAAGATAAATTTTAACAAAATTTGCAAACATGGAATATGTATATAGTGAAAGTCAACTTTAGCAAATGTCTGATGGAATGGACTAGTTAATGTGGCTAAGTCATCTGTGGCCTTGGTGGCATCAGAGCGAATTCTGCGTGAATCAACAGACAGGTCGTGATGGAGAGAGGAGGGCAGAAGAAGTAACTTGCAGGAAGACCTTTGATTTCTGGAAGTGGGCCGTCTGGACTTAAAGCCCACCAAATTGCTTAACATCCAAATGTAGACAACCGGTTGCAGCTTGCTTGACTTCTGTGAGTCTCAATGCCTCCATTTGCAAAATGAGATAGAAAGTGTTGGGTTATCTGGATTGCCTTGTAGATTGTACATGGGAATAAACGTGCAATGCCGAGCGTCGCAGACAGAACACGACTCAGAAGGCGCTGGTTCACATCAAGATTCTAGAGAGGCTGATGGCACTACCAGCAAGTGTTTTAGCCACTGGTAATGACTGTCATGCTGTATTTCTTCATGTGGATCACAAATTAAACCGCAGCCTTCTCTCACAAGATGTCTCTACTGACTTAAAGAATAAAGTCTTTGGTTCCTGTATTATTTCTACATTTTTTGTTGGTGTGTTGGTGACTTTATGTAGTCTACGTGAACACTGTGTCCTTGAGACAGGGCCCCTCACTGAACTTGGAACTAGGCTGGAGACCAGCAAGTCCTGCACTGCTTCCTCCTGTCTCTTTCATGGTGCTGGAGTTACATGCATGCACACAGCCCTGCATAGATTTTTATGTGAGTGCTGGGATAGGAACTCAAGTCGTCATGTGTGCACAGCAGGGCCTCTTGCCTGCAGAGCCCTCTCCACAGACCCATTTCTATTTTGGCCCTGGGTTCAAGAGTCAACTGTTTTCTATAACTCCATGATCTGTTTTATATCATTGGTTAACATTTGTGTGCTCCAGCTCCTCTATTTCTAGTTATTTAGGGTTTTTTTTTTTTGTAGGTCTTCATGTTGCTTAGGCTGGTCTCAGTTCTCTGTATAGCAGAGGATGACCTCGAACCCCCTGCTTCTGACATCTTCACCTTGTAAGTGTTGTGATTACAGTTACATCTTGTTGACTTCAGTAGTGGGGGGGGCATTGCATTTAGAGATGGCTACTAACATGTAAGATTCCTAGATATTCTGACAAATCCTGGGGAGGGCAGAAGAATTTTCTTGGGTATGAAATGAAGATCCAACCAGTCTCATTTGGGTCTTCTTTAAGGATTGGAGAATTTCCAAGGGAAATCTTGTACAACATGTCTTCAGGTCTCAAAGAGGGACTGCAGCTTGGTGACTGACTCTGCCGTGGAAACAATTCTTTTCACCTTCCTTCCCTCCCTCTTTCCTTCCTTCTTTCCCTCTCTCTATCCCTCCTTCCCACATTTTTCCTCCCCCCCTCTTTTCTGACCATCTTGCTATGTTGCCCACACTTATTGCCAACACACAACTTTCTCTCTTACAGATATGGACCACTAGGCCTGGTTGAGACTATCTCTTGTCCACAGCATAAAGATACCTTGAAAAATAAGCCAATCGTTACTACATTTAGAGGTCTTTAGCATTCAGTGTGGACTCTGATATGTAAATTAAAATGTCTAGGTGTGGGAAGTCCCACTTGCTCTCTCCAGGTGAAGCAGCCATCCCAGATCTTATAAAAAATTGAACATGTTCTTGTCATGAACTCATACGGCCAACTCAGATATGACTCACAGAAACGACCATCAAACCTGAGTTTCAGTCTAATGTGGGTGTTCCAAGTAATGACTCATTTCCACTCCGTTTAGCTTCTGGGAGTCATAAGACAATACTCCTCTGTTTACATTCTAGGGATATAAATGTTCATTCACTCTATTTTGTTCAGTTCAGGATTCAATTTTAAAGCCAGAAAGCGTGAACCACCAGAATACTGCCTAGTGTCCGTTAGGGTTTTGTTACTAATAATTGCTTCGTGTGCCAGTTGAGTGACTAACAACATATGAGTTTTCAACAAAACATAAGAATAAAATCAGCTCATAAATTCAAGCAAATTTCTGGGAAAGAATTTGAACACAGCAACGTACATACTCTTGGACTCAGTAAGAAGAAGACCTATAAATTTTCAACTATATCTATAGTTGAAATGCAAACTCGGAACACATGAAAATGGACACCACCCAGGGTGCTGCTTTTTCTGCTGCCAGCATATGCTTACATGCTGAGATACAGACCCTTAGAGAGAAGGATTCTTATATAGAGCCAGTCTGTGACAATGATGGCTCCCATCACAGGGACCCCTCACCTCCCTGGTTCTTCCTGCCTACCTTTTCTCCAACACCTTCCCTCCAGCTGGAGCTCACTGTGCCAGGAACCCAATCCACCTTCTAAGCATGGCAGCTGGCTAGAAAGTCTAGTTTGCAGTCCTCCAAGTTCTCTCTCCACTGTAAGAACAAGTCAAGTAAAGGAGGCTGAGTCTATAGATGATTTGGTGCTCCCAAGCCTTTACCATTTTATGAATGAATATGTTTTTATGTAGAACCTAAAGAAAATTGCCAACTCATTTTTCCAAGCAAAGGATAAATCAGTTGCCACAATCATAAGAGATTGCTTTAATACCAAAGAGAGGAAACTACAATCTCAGAATAAAAGAATTTCATCCACAGCTAGATCTGTATTAATATTTCACATTATTTTTTTTCTCAGATGTGGCAGCATGATCACAGGTCATGGTAGTCATAGGGACCAGCGTAGGTGCAGTAGCCAGTGAGATACTTACTGATAAGTTTCGATGAGTAGCTATGCCGGAGTATGAGGGCCAAAAATACAACTCTTGAGTGGAAAGTGAGGGTGGGAATTTTGGTGGCACTGGGAGGAGGTGTTAGGCTTGGGGTAGGCAAACTTAACGACTCTGGATGACATGGCTGAGGGGCAGAGTGTTACCTGGGGAAAACTAGTTCACATCAAGGATAGATGAGCGGGGAAGGAACGGACCATCCATGGGAGGGTTTCCATGATCTTAGAGGGACTCAGGTAGTGTTCTGTGGATAGGGAAGTGGACTGTCACAGAGTGGCTAATGGGTTTAGGTGATCTCTTTGATCTATTCATGGATACATTTGTCTAAAGAGGCAGCCATTGGGGTATGTAGTTCACTAAGTACCTGCGGTGTGGGAACAAATCCAGTGTAGCCTTTGGTCCCAGAAATGCACAACTATGTACAAATTATAAATATGGATGTGCTTGCTGGTTTTGTGTCAACTTGACACAGCTAGAGTCATTTGGAAAGAGGGAACCTCAAGAGAATACTCCCATCAGATGAGCTTTTGGGAAAGTCTGTAGGATTTTTTTTTAAATTGATAGTTGACGTGGGAGGGTCCAGCTCACAGTGATCACAGTGAGTGGTGTCACAACTGGGCTTGTTGGTCATGGATGTTGTCAGAAAGTAGGCTGAGTAAGCCTTGGGGAGCAAGCTAGTGAGCAGCATCCTTCTATGGCCTCTGTTTCAGTTTTGGCCTCCCATTTTCTGAAACGAGCCCTTCCCTCCCCAGGCTGCACGGTGGGTATTAAGAGAACAAAGCGGCTGGCAAAATGACTCAGCAGTTAGGAACTCACCATTGCTCTTGCAGAGGACTTGGTTTCCAGAACCTACTTGCAGCTCTCAACTGTCTGTAACTCCAGTTCCGGGTGATCTGGTGCCCTCTCTGGCTGCTGTATGCACCAGATACACACGTGATGCACATATACACATGCAGGCAAATACACGTACACATAAAAATAGATCTTTAGAAAAAACCGGATGGGAGGGAGGAAGATGCTAGAAAGGAGGAGCTGGAAGACAAAGCGAAAAGGACTAAGCCTGTGTTTAACCACACTGTGCCAGCATGAGCACAGAGTCACTCAGATTACAGGAAGGTACCAATGGTTTCTATCTTCAACAAGCTTCCAATCATAACAAGATCGATCTTGTTTTATCTAGGTATAACATGACATTGCAGAAAATCAAAGATAAAGGGAAATTTTAATAAAAGCATAGATTCGCTTCAAGGGAATAGAAATTAACAGTAATTAGACTGTCAACAGTGGAGCACAGAAGACACTGTGTGACAACACCCTCTCAGAGTCAAAGAAAGGCAGCCGCAGTGTAGAATTTTAAATTTGGGAAGCAAAATCTTGCAAAAATAGAGATAAATAAAAAAAAGGTTTTCAAACCAATAAAATAGAGTGAATTCTCCAAGAGTAGATTTGCAACAAAGCAAATTCTGAAAAAAAACGTTTAAAGTCAAGAAAAAATATTTACACGGTTTCTACATT